TGTGAAATTGTGCTCCAAGTTTGTTTAATGTTGCTCTTTATTTGAGTAAATTTATCTTCGTAGTAATTAGTTTTGGCTCGTCTAATTATCTTAGTTAGCAATAATGAGTAATTCTTTGAGAATTCTTTGGAGACAATTCCTAACCTATACTTCTTCTCAAGGTCGTGTTTTTTGTTAATGGATTTCAGTATTCCCTTTGTAAGCCAAGGATTGTTAAGCCTTTTGCTTGTGACTTGTTTTGTAAGCCTAGGACAGTGGGTGTTATAAGCAGTACAACAAATCTATGTTAATGATGTGCACTGTAATTGCTAAGAAAAGGACATTATGAGTGCTAAAGTGGCAAAAGGTATATCAACAGTCACAAAACAAAGAACACAATCACTTGCAGATGTTGAAAAGTTATTAATTCACCCATTAATTAATTATTAATTGCAAGCTGTAGTAGGCCATTGTGTTAACCTTTTTAAAGACAATGTGATATGTTACTTCAGACAAGTGTTTCAACATAGGGAAAACAAGTGTCACTAGACTGGTTTTTAGTGAGGGAAAATCAAGCAGTGAGCCACAAGCAGGTCCTAGTGGTATGCAGGCAAAATGTTCCCTTCCAAACACTAACACCTCCTCTCCTCCTCCTCCCCCCCCCCTCCTCACCATCTTCCATACACCAACAAGAGTCATCAATAAAGGTAAGCAATAACCTGTACATACTTTAGTGATTTGGGTGAATTAGGTATAAAATTTAATATGAAGTAAATATTTTGGGAAGTGTGGAATAGTTTAATTCAATTTACATTATTTCTTATGGGAAAATTCACTTCAGTTTACGAATTTTTGGCTTACGAACCGTATCTGGGAACGGATTAAATTCGTAAGCTGAGGTACAACTGTACTTGACTACTTGACTGTCACAGTTGCTGAGTTCTTTTAAGCCTACAGGGGGACAAGGGCCAGAACCAGGCCCCCTCAGAGAGGCAAAGGTAGCAATGGCCATGAACACTTTACTTTTAACCCTTTAACTGCACAGCCTATAAATATGACACCCCCCAGTACGCAAGAAATAAATTCTCGGGAAAAAATTTTTTTTAGTTCAGAAAGTGTCAAAAACCCCTCCCTGTATATGGGTACAGCAACGAAATTTCGAAATTGTACTTACTTTGGCTGCTATGGGGTCCATAAGGTAGCGCGTGACATCATCATTCCCCGTGCGCCCGGGGCGGGGTGCGCGAGTTGCCGCAAATATATTTTTGTTCACTTTTTGCGCACAGTTCCATATACATTTTATTTGTTTTTATGTGCTAATCCTATGTATAATGAACACATACACCATATTATGGCAGTAAAACATCCGTACTGTCCAAGGACACTGTGTTACGTGCATGACACGAAGCGAGCGGGGACCCCAGGTCACATCTATCGGACCCATGCGCCCCCTAGGGAATTCCCAGGGTCCTGAACGTTTACTTGAGGAGGACTCACACTCAGGTAAACCCAGGCAGGGTACTGCTAACCGGCGCCCAAAACTACCAAACAAACTCTCTAAAGCTGAACCTCAGGGATGTGTACACTCACGGGGACCAAGCAGGGGACACCACCAAGAATCAAGGTGAGGCCAAACACCAGTGGCAAATGGGGCAGATCCCCCCCACCAAGGCAAAACCAAAAAGAAAAACAAAACCCCGCAAGAGGACAACGTACCCCAAGGAACAGAACCGGCCGCTGTGATTGGTAACAACTAGCTGCACAGCACCCTGCTCCCCTTACCAGTGCAAAAACTGCCTCTTACCTGAAGGTAAACTAGGGAGACAAAACATCCAAGTACCCAAAGGGCGGCCGAGAAACCGAGCAGGAAAACGGACACACAGAGGCAGACCCCAAGGAACTTGTGGAAGGTAACCCCAAGCTCAAAGGGCAGTACTTACAAGGCACCTAGGGAAAGGAACCCTAGGCACATGCAGCTCAAGTACTGAAGAATAACTCCTGGCTCTCGCACCTCTGGAGTACAGCAGCCACACACAAGGCACAGCGCTGTAAAAATACTGGAGCCAGAGCACACAACCGAGCCGATAGCATCAGCCTCAAGAACAGGGGTGTGGATTGGCGGCGAGGTAGGTCTGGGGCTACCCCTTCCCCCTACAGGGAGGGGGGCGCTGCGCAGACAGCGGCACGACGACGGGTGATGCCATACTAGTTTGCTCGTTTTTGTTTGGGGAGTGCTATCCACTCGTTCGGTTTTTGGTTGCAATTTTCACCAGAAAAGGGGGTTTGTTTTGGGATGCCTACCTTTCTGGGTGCCTAACCCGGTTGATGGCAGACATAGAATGCTTCCAATTACACGGGGGTTTCTATAGGCCATTGTTCCCCTTACCTCTTTAGAGGGGGCCAGGTTCTGGCTCGTGGTCCCCGGTAGGCCATAATAACTCGATACACATGACTGATGCCAAAGTCTATCATTAGCATATTGGCCTAGTAAGCTCCTACGAGCCATAGGAGCTCCCCCCCACCCAGGAAAGAGGCGTTGACAGAGCAGTCGTCAGATGAGGTCTGCTCCGCCCGAGCTGTCAGGCAGAGGTTGCCACAAAGATATTTTTACCTAATTACTTCAATGTCTCTGTTTTTTTTTTGTTTTTTTTTGCAGCAATTTTATTCAATAGTGTGTATTATGATATATTTATATAATAAAATGTGTGAACCATCACTGTACTCAAAACTATTGTGTTCATTTTAGTGATTCAATTATTATGTTTGTAAAACAATAAACAAATAGTTTTGCTGTTATTACACTATATACACATGTTATATATACGTATCTGCATGTTTTGTTCACCATAACAAACCACTAAGTTGGCATTGTGAGTCAAAAAGCAATGAAGAGTGGCCATCACTCACCAGCCAGCCAGCCACTCGCCACCACTCCCTCACTCACTTCCACACTTGCCAACATACTCCTCCCACCATACTGTTTTTGCTTTTATTCACTATACACACACATTAAATATAAGTATCTACATGTTTTGTTCACCATAACTGTACATCTAAGCTTTTATGGTGAGTAAAGACAATAAGGCGTAGCTACACACACAGTCAGCTGGTGGCGGCCACCCTCAAGTCCAGACGCACTAATATTTCTCCTTCAACAATACTGTTTGTAGTGTTATTACACTATATACACACATTGTATATAAGTATTTACATGTTTTATTCACCATACCTGTACAAATAGGCTAGTATGGTGCCCAAAGATCATACTGGTCACAAGTAAACAATATGAAAAGTCGTGCAGACAACGCACCTCCTCACCAAAATAGCGGCTCCCAACATACTCCTATTGCTGTTATTACACTCTATACACACGTTATATATAAGTATCTACATTTGTGTTCACCATAGTGAACCACTAAGCTGCTATGGCGGGTGCAATCAATTAAAGTTGGCCCACACAGAGTCAGAAGACGATGCCACCACCCTCCCTCCCACAGACTTACTCCTCCCTCCATGGAGCACAGAGCTAAATATCACCTCAATCCTGCTATTATCAGGATCCTGGTCAGTTTTATCACTGTCAAGGGTCTTCTGTAATACTATCATCGTTAAGTAATAGCATGTACATATATATACAGGGGTACCTCGGTTTAAGAGTTTAATCCATTCCTGGAAATGGTTCATAACCCGAAAACTGGTAAACCGAAGCTAATTTCCCAATAAGAAATAATGGGAAATAAATTAATCTGTTCCTGACTACCCAAAAAATCCTCACTTCAAACTAAATTGTATACCTAATTCATCGAAATCTACGCTACCAAAGTATGTTCAAGTTATTACGTACCCTTGCTGATGACTGCTGTTGGCGTATGGAAGATGGTGAGGAGGGGGGGAGGAGGAGAGCTGTTACTGTTTGGAAGGGGAGTCCCCTTCCATTATAACATCAGGCAGTGAGGACTTCTCGGGTGTACACTCTCTGGCATGTTTTGCCTGCATACCACTAGGTCCTGCTTGTGGCTCACTGTTTGCTTGTCTTACTAAGAATCTGTTTAAAGACACTTGTTTTTCCCTACATTTTAACACTTGTCTGTAGTAAGACATCACATTGTCATTTAAAAGGTCAATGCAACGGCCTGTTACAGCTTTATCTGGGTGAGTTTTTTCAACAAAACCTTGCAGTTCTTCCCATACTTCACACATATTCTTAATGAAGAAGGGACATCCTCTACTGCCTCTACTCACAACTATTTTCTTAGGTTGAACCTTACCACTGGCTTTCTTGGGACTCATTGTGAGATATATAATAACAACTTTTATGTTCAAATGGCTAAATATCCAACAAAACACAATAAATCCTGGTGAAGAATTGAGGCGGGATAGTCACTGGGAACAAGGCACTGGTAAACTGAGCGGGAATCGCTGTGCCACCATGCGCTAGGTCGGCCTGAATGCGTATCAACACCCTCGTATCCTGAGGCAACGCTCGTATTCCGATACAAATTTTCCGAACAAATCCTGCGCGTAACCCAAAAAACTCGTAACTAGGGGAGCTTGTAATCCAAGGTACCACTGTATTTTGACATTCTTAGGCGATGCTGTGGTCACAAGCTGAACAGCAGTGCTGTGCGCTCATGCTGTGTGTGTCCGCCTTGGTGGCTCGCTCAGTACTGAGGCTCTCACACCCATCAATGTTGGCCACGATTTTTTTTTTCTAGATGGCGCCTGCCAACTATCAGTCGTGGCTGCAGTATAGCTGCCCCTATCCCACGCGGGGCGTTTAAAGTATAGCGCTAGACACAAAAACAGCTATTAATGTATTGCGCGGTACTGGTTTTGTTACTGAAATCATCTCTATATATGTATTGCGCGTTCTAAGGGTTAAACAAATCGGAAATTTGAAGCTATCTCATTGAACTGCTTGTTTGAAATAACTCATAATTTTGTAGTATTACAATAACTTGCAAAATAATATATTCTGTTAGAAAATCATGCTCAACAGTACTGTATAGAGAATATCCTACCTTCATATCTCCAAATTGTACAAAATAATAAGGGTCATCTTCAAGAATGATGAGATTGTATTCTGAGGCAATTTTATAAATCTCCCAACGTCGTTCTTCAGTGAAGGACACTCCGGTAGGATTGCATGCATTTGGATTGATATATAATACCTTAAGTAAAGAAAAAGAAAAAAACAGATTTAGAGTAAAATTACATTAAAGGTAGATTAATTTTTTTACATTCAACATTGAGTAAATATGAAATGGATTTTTCTGGGCTATGCCTTTCAGATGGTCTATAAGACATCCACTATGTTCTCTGGAGGAGGGTAATGACAGTCAGGTAGTACACATTCCCTACACCAGTTCAGTTGGGACCTTTACAGGAAGTCTATGAAGAGTCATTAAAGGTGCTAGGGAGTCACTGGAGATGAATTCAATCCAACCTGAAATGGCTGACTTGAACTCCATAAAATCTTGAAGTGTAATTTCTTGTTAGTGATCAAATGTGAGTACCATATGAGGTCTACACTTGAACTATTCACTGTCAGGAAATCTTGCACTGTACTGCCAACCACCACCCACTCCTTCAGCTCCCCCTCATTCTTACTGAACACAAACATGCTGCAAACAGGAAAAAGGAAAAGAAAGGACTCGGAGCAATTGAATGGCACCGAGCTATTGTATGCAGTAGTCCCCCAAAGTAAGCTTAACAAATAAATTACTAGTATATGAAACCCGGTATTGAATGTAATGAAATGCTTTTTTCAGGTGGGTCCTTGGTGGCTTCTTGTTGCTAGCTATTACCTGTTGAAGATCTCAGGGGTTAATGACCCCTGTGGTATGGTCTTTGACCAGGCTTCCTGGTTGCTGGTCTGATCCACCAGGCTGTTTGATGAGGCTTCTTGCAGCCTGATGTATGAAACACAGCCTGGTTGATTAGGTATCCTTTGAAGGTGCTTGTCAAGTTCTCATTTGAACACTGCAAGAGGTCAGCCAGCTATGTCCTGTATGTGTGGAGGAAGTGTTTAAAAAGTCTTGGGCCTTTGATGATGATCAAGTTCTCTCTCAGCATACCTATGGCACCTCTGCTTTTCAGTGGGGCTATTTTACACATCTGCCATGCCTTCTGGTCTCATATGGTCTTATTTCTGTGTGACGATTTGGAAACAGTCCTCCTATTATTTTCCAAGTGTAGATTATTATGTCTCTCTCTCACCTGCACTCCAGGGACTACAGATTTAAAGTTTTAAGGCAGTCCCAAAAACTTATGTTTTATTGAGTGGATTCTAAAGGTAAAGGATCTTTGCATGTTCTCCTAGTCAGCATTTTCTCCAGCTTTGAATGGAGCTGTTAGTGTGCAACAATATTCCACTCTAGAGAGCACTAATGTCTTAAAAAACTAGTGATGAATGTAATGAAACACCATTTTCTGGGTGAGACCTGGAGGCTTCCTGGGGCTATCTAGGCTAATATGGATATATTAGCTTTCTCGCATCAGTCAATATGCATGGAGTTCTTGCCTACCGGGGACCAGGGGACCACGAGCTAAAACCTGGTCCCCCGCAGAGAGGCACAAGGAACAATGCCTATACTGTAGAAGCATCCATGTAGTTGGGAGTATTCTATGTTTGCCTTCAACCGGGTCTGACACCCAGAGAGGTAGGCGCCCCAAAACAAACCCCTATTCCGGTGAAAATATTGCTATTGAAAACTGAGCGAGTGGACAGAACTCCCTAAACAAAAATTAGCAAACGAGCATGACATCATCACGTTGCCGCGCTGCTGTCTGCGAAACCCCTTCCCCCCTCTGTGGGAGGGGAAAGGGGGAGCCCCTAGACCCCTCGCGCCAGAGATCCACCCTTCAGTTCTTAGGCTGGATGTCAAAATACGCAAAAAACAACACTGTCCAGAGAGAGGGAGGGTGCCGGGAAGCCTCCAGGTCTCACTCAGAAAATGGCGTTTCATTACATTCAATGCTGGTTTTCTGGGGGAAGCACCGTTGGCTCCCCGGAGTTATCGCACCAAAGATAAGGAAAAGGAGGGAAGGACCCGGGAGGCAGATGCTACCCGCCATAAACTCAATATCAAGACATCTTGAAAAACCGAAGGACCCTTCAGATGACTCGGGAGACCTAAACTCTGGAACAGGAAGGAAGAAAGGAAACCTAGACAACTGGGAGTAGAAGAACTCCCAGAACCCCATCAAGCAGGTATTAAGCAGGTAACCCAAAGCACGTCCTCGGCCACAGAGGCCATGATGCGCAGAAAACAGCACAGAGGTCCAACCGAACACAACACATGTTGCACCCTTTCCATGATGAACACAAGCATGATGCACCAAGATAAAACTTTCAGGCATCCCTGTGTACAGGAGTTGTAGCTGATGTGTGGAAAAAGGCTAACGTAGTTCCAATCTACAAAAGTGGAAGCAGGGAAGACACCCTTAATTATAGACCTGTATCACTGACAAGTGTAATCAAAATATTGGAAAAAAATAATTAAAACTAAATGGGTAGAACACCTGGAGGAAAACGATATAATATCGGACAGACAGTATGGTTTTCGATCTGGAAATCCTGTGTAACGAACTTACTCAGTTTTTATGATCGAGCCACAGAGATTTTACAGGAAAGAGATGGTTGGGTTGACTGCATCTATCTGGACCTAAAAAAGGCTTTCGACAGAGTTTCCCATAAGAGGTTGTTCTGGAAACTGGAACATATTGGAGGAGTGACAGGTAAGCTTCTAACATGAATGAAAAAATTCAGAACTGACAGAAAAATGAGGGCCGTAATCAGAGGCAAGGTATCGGATTGGAGGAATGTCGCGAGTGGAGTACCACAGGGTTCAGTTCTTGCACCAGTAATGTTCATTGTCTACATAAACAATCTACCAGTGGGAATACAGAATTACATGAACATGTTTGCTGATGATGCTAAGATAATAGGGAAGATAAGAAACCTAGATGATTGTCATGCCCTTCAAGAAGACCTGGACAAAATAATTATATGGAGCAACACTTGGCAAATGGAATTTAATGTGAATAAATGCCATGTTATGGAATGTGGAATATGAGAACATAGACCCCACACAAGCTATAAATTATGTGAGAAATCTTAAAGAATTCTGACAAAGAAAGGGATCTAGGGGTGGTTCTAGATAGAAAACTGTCACCTGAGGACCATATTAAGAACATTCTGCTACACTTTCTAACCTCAGAATTGCTTTTAAATACATGGATGGAGAAATACTAAAGAAATTGTCCACGACTTTTATTAAACCAAAGCTGGAATATGCAGCGGTTGTATGGTGCCCATATCTTAAGAAGCACATCAACAAACTGGAAAAGGTGCAACGACATGCCACTAAGTGGCTCCCAGAACTGAAGGACAAGAGCTACGAGGAGAGGTTAGAGGCATTAACCCTCAAACCACGCATATCATAAGTAAATGATATCAGTGACAAAACCGAAATCGCGCACATCATTTATATATGATTTCGTGTCAAGCGCTATAATTTAAACGCACCGCCTGGGATAGGGGCAGCTATAGTACAGCCACGACCGATAGTTGCCAGATGCCACCTAGAAAAAAAAATCCAGGCCAACATTCTTGGGTGTTACAGCGTCAGTATTGAGCAAGCCACCAAGCCTGGCGCATACAGCATGAGCTCACAACACCGCTGTTCAGCTTGTGACTACAGCATCGCCTACAAATACCATAATATAAATGATACTGCTATTATTTAGCAGTGATAGTATTACTGAAGCCCCCTGACTGTGATAAAACTGACCAGGATTCTGATAATAGCAGGATTGTGGTGACATTTAGCGCTGTGCTCCATGGAGGGAGGAGTAAGGCTGTGGGAGGGAGGGTTGTGGTGTCGTCTTATGACTGTGTGGGGTCACCATTTATTGACTGCACTTACCATACCAGCTTAGTGGTTCGCTATGGTGAACACAAATGTAGATACTTATATATAACGTGTGTATAGTGTGAGATAACAGCGAGAAGAGTAGGTTGGGATCCGCCATTTTGGTGAGGGAGGAGCGTCGTCTGCACGACTTGGCATGGTGTTTACTGATGGCCACTATGGTTTTTGGGCACCATACCAGCTTATTTGTACAGGTATGGTGAATAAAACAGGTAGATACTTATATATAATGTGTGTATATAGCGTAATAACACCACAAACAATATTGTTGGAGGACAAATATTAGTGCGTCTGACCTTGAGGGCGGCCGCCGATCAGCTGACTGTGTGAGTAGCTACATCTTTGTGCCTTTACTCACCATACAAGCTTAGATGTACAGTTATGGTGAACAAAACATGTAAATACGTATATATAACGTCTGTGTATAGTGAATAAATACAGAAAGAGTATTGTGGGAGTTGAATGAGGGTGAGTGAGGTGGTGTTGAGGGAGGGAGTGGCAGTGAGTGGCTCGCTGGTGTTTGGCGGTCACTCCTCATTGCATTTTGACTCACAAGACCAACTTATAGTTCGTTATGGTGTACAAAACATGCAAATACTTATATATAACCTGTGTATATAGTGTAACAACAGCAAAACTATTTGTTTATTGTTTTATGAACATAATAATTGAATCACTAATATGCACACCATAATTTTGAGTACAGCGATGGTTCACACATTTTATAATATAAATATACCACAATTTACTGTATGGAATAATATTTCTGCAAAAAAACTAAGAAAAAATCAATCAGAGACATTGAAATAATTAGGTAATAATATATTTGTGGCAACTGCCGTCTGACAGCTCGGGCGGAGTAGACCTCGTCTGGCGAAGGCTCTGCCAACGCCCCTTTTTTGCCACACTTCCCTACCCTATTGCGGCTAAAATATCACACCTACGATTTTTTTGTTATTTTTTCCGTGATCAGGGAACAAAAATGAACACTTCTATAAGACGAAAGAATTTTTTGGAATTTTTTTTTTTGTTGCGCCTGTGGGTGTGAATTCCATTTGGGCCCCTAGCGGTTTGAGGGTTAACCCTTCAATTGCGCATCCCATCATATGATGCTTTGGAGTACTACGCAAGATTTAAACGGCTCGCGGATACACGGGGTTCACCACACCTTCATCAGGGCTCTTGTAAACAGACGTCATTTAAAAAAAAAATCGTGGGCCAAACCCCAGGGTGTT